TTGAGACACTTATGTGTGCCCCCCCCTTCAGTGGCGAAGTGGTAAATCTGGAGGCTTATAACGCTAAAACCCGGTTTCGATATCCGTAGTAGGTCATTGTGTACCTCTGTGGTTATGAACAAAAACAAGCACATGTATTTGTGTGTTTTTGCATTTGTTTGTTCTGTTGTTAAGACTAAAGCTAGACAACAGGCTATCTGTGTTCTGCCCACCATGGGTATCGAAACCCAATTTGTAGCTTCATAAACCTCTATATTCACCGTTGAGCCACCAGGGGGGTATTCTTGTATTTAAATGCATTTACAACTTACGTTATTAAGTTTTAATTAGTTTTAAAAAGCCTGAAAATTCAAAGTTGACATTTTATCTCTACAACTAAAATTACATACTCGGTCCTCCAAGTTTCTTGTTTTATTCTGTTTTAGCGAGAAGAACTACATAACAACCGTCTCCAGCAGCGAATTAACTAGTTTCGATAGTATGTTAAGAGTAAGTATACTTTATTATGTAAAAAACTAAATAGAACATTAAAAATACTGTTACAATAAACTAAAACAACAATAACAACAAGCCTCGCGTATTTTATAATTCACCGAACAATTCCTCCAACACTTTAAAATAGGAAATTTGTTTTTATTGTCCTCCCGGTATGACATCGGCACGTCTTCGGACGTACAATGGTAAAATTCGGGACTCGACTCCCCGTGATGATCACAGCGAATTGCCCTACGTAACTTTGCTCTAAAGTAAATAAACCGTTTTCATTGCTTCAATGTTTCTTTAACCCATGTATCTATTCCTCAACTTATTTCTGGAAATTATATGAACGTAACATGGTATCCTTCGCATTTGATTTATTTTTCTAACTGAGCTACATAAACTTTGTTGATGCACATTCTTTCGATATTCTTGTCGATAATATTTAAATCATATATATAGATATATATATATATTATTACTTTTATTGCAGTTTATGTTTTAGTGTTTCACAGAAATATAGAATAGGTAATGTGTGATATTAATTTTAGATATTAGTCTTGTTTAGCTGCTCAGTATTATAAAGAGGGTTTAGGACGTTATATTAAAATTGATTTGGTATCTCATTGCGTTGTTAAGAGTCTGTTTGCCACGTCTGACGACCGTACATCATAACAATAACCTTGACTAAGAGTCATGTATAAAGTATACGAATCAATCCGATTTGCTTTCCATTATCCATCTAGTGTACGAGAACGAGGTTTCTACCCGTCCGTTTAAACAGTTCAATTGCACAGAAATCATTAGGTACAGCATTTGGCTACTTGACTGACATCTCTTCATATAGAATAGCATGAACGACTATTTAATTTCCCAACCGCTAGGTGACAATTAAACTAGTTTCCATACAGTTCATAAAGAATACTTTTTCTGGTGACCTTTGTGTTCGTGGATTCTCAGCTGTTACAAGACACCGATATTTATTTAACACGTTTAAGGTACGACAAATTTTAGGTCTTTGCCTGGATGGTCCTGGTGCCCCAAGTTGATCCTTATTCTATTGTTTTCATATAGTATAAGGAAAATTCTAAATTCTTGATCTCAATACATTTTTATGGTCTGATCCCCCAAAATGATAGACTTTTGGTGGCACCACACTATCTACGTAACGCCAAACAATCTTAAAATGTAGTTCTGATACATTTAATACTTTTCACCGCGACTGTGATTGTCACGTGATTTGCTGATTTCTATATTAAATGTAGTTTTCTTATAACATACTCAACCATTTTTGTAAGTGACACACGTCACAATTCACACACTATTATGCAATCATTATCTTAGTTAACAGTAAATGATATCAGTCTCTGGTGCAGGCTATCATTTAATTTTTCAATTATTTGTAGAATATAATTCAGGAAATTGTTTAATCTCATATTAATGACAAATAGTAAACCATTTGATGTCTTTATTATGAATTAACTTAGACAAAAAACACTTTCGTACACTAGTTCTGAGGATCATAATTATTTCTTCTCTGTAATATTACTCTTGATATTATACAACCTCCAATGATCTCTTATAATCAACATCATCTGAAAGTAATCAGTATATCTGTGTCAGGGGAGTTCAGTTAACTTCCTAAATGCACATCGATAAAGCTTCTTGTTGGTATTGTGTAAATCATGTTTTCAATTAGTGTGTACTTTGGTTCATCGTTAAGTGTAAATCTCGAATGAAATTTTTTCATCTTGGCCTGTGCTATCGTGTCGTGTGGAAAGGGGTAGTTTGATAAGTTTTGTGTGTATGGTGTATGTAAATATTCTTATGATTCTGGTATTTTCATGTATATTTAATCGAAACGCGTCGCCACCAATGAATATGATGAATGTAGTGTGGTTGAAATGCTATTAGTATACACTTAATCCTTAAAAATCCGTAAGGGATTAGATTAAGAATGTAATGTTAAAATATAGTAGGACTAACAAATTGTAATGACAAATATAATTAATGTAAAAAATTTTTTTTCACGATAACCATTTCATTGCTCTGAAAATCGCGAAACTGGTGAACTATAAACACTGTTTAAATTTACATAATTATTTAACGATACATGGTTTGTGACTTTTCCACTTAGTATACCTATGTATATATATATTAAATATTTTACTTTGTTCTAAGCTGTATGATACATAATCTTTTTTTGTTGAAGCGTTGTATAAGAGTTCATTGATACCATAAAGAGTCAATTTTTTTAATTTTTCTCTTATTACAGAAATTCGGTTTTCCAAAGTAAGTATTACGCAATCACTTTAATTCTTAAACTTTCGAAAAATATTTTTCTTCTATGTTTTCCAAGAGTTAAGTTCGTACTAAGTGGTGTAAGTAAGAACATTTATAAGAAAACAGACAGCTTAAATGGAACCCTAATTAGCGGAAGCATATAATTACATAAGTCAAGTTGATGTACTTTGGTAATTCTAAATAAAATTATGCTAAATACTCTTGAAAGGCTTATTTCCTAGAGAAAAATAGGGACTAATAAATATCAAATAAGTATTTTGATGTAGAACATAAAAACATTTAACGACAGAATATAATTGCCATGCTAGTTTACATTGTTTATTTTTAGACTAAAATTACATTGTTTATCTCGTAGTGAATACATTTGTAAAAACGACTGCTTATGAAGTATAGTTTTATATTTTCTCTCCTGACAGCTATGATTACTCTGTTTTGAAGGTATTTTTTCGACAAAAAGAAACGTTAATCTACAGCAGCACTCCAAAATACCAGGTAAAAATTATACCACATGTGTGTCTTAATAATTCGCTCGCTCGATTTCGTGGCAGTAATTTTGGTTTTAATTTGGTTTGGATTGATTTAATTTAAAGAAAATAGCCAGGAATGATGACAAATTTCTTTTCTCTTCAACCCACTCGTGGTTATAGGGTACAGATATATCGTAGGGTTAAGAGGCTGGTGGGATTTGAGGGTGTGTTTTACATGAATACTAATATTAGTAAAGGGGAAGGTGAGATGAAGAAAGTTGTTTCCCACGTGTCTTAGGAGAGTTTCGGCTTGACGGTGGTGCCTGAGGTGATTATTGCTTGAAGAGAAGGCGACCAAGAAAACCAGTTCCAAAGAAATTGTCCAACTCTATACATATATCTATTTACTAAACAAGAGCCTGGTCAATATTGTACACGAATGCCGCTAACATAAAAAGTGCAGTCTTGGCAAAAATGTTTGCATAATATTCTATATTGTTGTTATTGTCTACATACATGGAGTAGTTATTGAGTAAATGCCCGAGTAGTAAGAAAAAAGGTAGCGTATAATCGGACAAACATGTACAAGTTGTTATTGTGGTCTGTATAAGTTGTTTTGACCATTTGTTCGTCAAAACACATATACAGACCTGTAGCGCCCTAACCACCTGACCATGCCGGGCCTGTTGCATTTAGAGTTTTCGCGCAAAACTAGAAAAGGTATCTTGGCATAGCCATTTTTAGTTTAGAAAATGATAGATTAGAGGGAAGAACAATTAGTCAATGGCACCCACCACCAGCTCTTTGGTTTCTCTTGTCTGACAGGATAGTGAGATTTGAGATACCAGAAATAAACTAAACTTTACAAAATTTAAATTTATGAACATTAGTATATCATTATATACAGGATTATCAAAAATCCATTGTATGTTTCTTTACTTTAGCTGACTTATTATTTAAAAGTGCGTAACTGTAGTTTAGTTTGAACCTATTATAGAGATGTCTAAGCTTGGATATAAATTTTCTGTAATCTCCGCTAATTTCCACCTACATTCAGTTACATTTTTGCATATAGTTTGTTAGTATGTTTTTTTGTAGAGGTTTTTGCTACACTTGGATAAATAAAGCATGTTATGTGTTCTTACGTAGTATATTATTTTATGGATTTTTCGGTTGAGGTTGTATTACGGAGTTCTTCTGTTCTCTCTTGGCACTTGTGTTATTTGATGTCCAGCTTTTTGAAAGTAATATGATTGTAATACAGTCTTGGTCAAAATGTTTACATATTTTGTAACAAATAAGATCATTATTATTAATATGAAATACAAATACACTCAGAATTGTCAAACTGAGAAAAGCATGTTGTATAAAAATTCTTCATATGTAATTTGTATAATGATACAGGTTCTATGGACACCATGAATGATTTATTAAAACAGCAAACAATTTCATCAGACATTTCACCTATCACAACAGAATTTTACCAAAACAGATAATAACAAAATCTAACTATAAATTATTATCTATAGCGTCTTGAACCTTATATCAGTTCATATTAAACATTTGTTCTTGGTGGGAACTCTTCGTACTCTTAATAACGTCCGCAAGGCAACGTGGCATGCTGTCGATGAGGTTATTGATGTAATCCATCGTGGTTGCATCCCAACTTGTCACAAGAAGGCGCTACAGTAGCTGGATTAGGGTCGTGGTTAGTAATTTTCCGAATCATTCCTAGCCAACATTTCTCCATACGATTACAATCTGGAGACTTTGCTGGCTTTGGCAATCTTTTAACGTCATACTGGTCGAGATAATCCTGTACAATACGTGCACTGTGGGTAGTGAATTCAGGTTAATACCTTGTTTGGTTAACATCATGTTATTACTTTCGTAAGGCGTTGCAAGACTTCTTTCGACCTTGACGGGTTAACCAGACCAAAAAACAGTCATCTCGGACAGTAGATTTTAATGTTTATCATTAGACTTTTTTGGAACAACGTTTCAGAATTCTGGATTTGGTACACTGGGAGTACCCTACTGTTTTAGCAATGCCTGTTTGCTTCATACCATTTCTGGACAGTCGAACAGTTTGACGCCTTATAGATTCTGGTACGTGACGAGGCCTGACTCTTCACCAAGTACAGAGAAATTGACTGAACAAAAGGTTGATCTGTTTCGAAATAGTTTATACCAAAAACCACACCATTTTATACAAGCGACTCGCAATCTGTGGGTCGCGGGTTCGAATCCCCGTCCCACCAAACATGCTCGCCCTTTCAGCTGTGGGGCGTTATAATGTGACGGTCAATCCCACTATTCGTTGGTAAAAGAGTAACCCAAGAGTTGGCAATGGGTGGTGATGAGTAGCTGCCTTCCCTCTAGACTTACACTGTTAAATTAGGGACGGCTAGCGCAGATAGCCCTCGTGTAGCTTTACGCGAAACAAACAAACTGTAAATAATAAATTATCTGCGTATTAATATTAAAATTGCATATTAAACTACAATACATTCGTTGCACACTGCAACTCCAAACTTATATAAGATAAGCAGAAGAGAATGTTCATAAACTCCTGTAAATATATAAGAATATTAAAGACTCTTTATTTACAAATACAACAACCACTCTCTTATATGCGTGTTGTAGTGGATAGGACTAGAGAAGCAATGCCAACGGAAACGTAAAGTATTTTCAGTTGGTGGCGAGTTATGAGTGACAGTCAAAGTTATTATTCGATTAAAAGAGCCAGGAAAAAGTCCTTGTGGCAACCGGTGCTGTTGGCTGGCTGCCTTCTCTCTCTGGTGACCAGCTCAAAATTTGAGACGGCTATACCTGAACCCTAGAAGTCCTTGAATTGGCAGAACCTGTATGTTTACTTTTACTTGAATAGGATGATTGATTATCACATTTGTAACGCCTTCACAGCTAAGTGAGGAGCGTGCCCAGGGCATATAGCGGGGTCAAAATTTCCTTATTTTCATCTACACTCTAGACCACTCTCGGCCACTAAACTTAGAAATGACTGTTTTTACTTAGCTGAGCGCGAGTTTAAAAACTATTTTTACCTAACTGTGGACAAGTTTAAAGAATGTTTTTAGAACAGAAGACTCATTTTGAGAATTCATATAGCCCTAAAGTCTTGTATGTTTGTACTGACGAATCATTGCATCTTTTTAAGCACATGTTTCCTTTATAGCTGATTATCTGGTATTATCCCGGACAAATAACCCATGATAAAACGTTATTAACGAGATATTTTATCAGTAATTATGTTATAAAATATTATAACTTTTATTATAACTAGAGACGAAACTGGAAATGATCGACTGTGGGATATCATTAAATTTCTAAGATTGAAATGACAGACTTACATAAAATATCCAAAACTTGCATGTGAATTAATTCTTCTCTATATATCAAATTTTATTATTACAAGAATGTTTAGTGTATAGAGTTCAAAAAAAATTCAAGTCCATGAAGAAATAAAATTTAATCATACACATTGTAAATCCACACGGAATTTTACCTATGAAAATCTCATAATAAGAAAATAATTTTGATTGATTGTTTCACAAAAATTATTCGAAGAAGCAGTAAAGTTTTTTGCCGGTATAAAGAAATGATGCTAAGAAATCGATACTTTAAAACAAATGTCAGATTTGTTTGCATTCTATGTTACATTAATACAAGCAGATAGTAATTTTACAGCTGATTTTATTGAACATAAAGCCCTGGTGTTCAGTTTGCATAAAATGTAATGTCCTACTGTGATCGATCTAGGTGTGTCTTACTTTATGACTCGTGGTCAATGTTATTTATGTTCCCAATATGCTACTGAACTGAGATGCTGCAGTAAAATTTAATTTCGTTAATGATGTAGTTGTTTGAAATAGAAGCCTTTATTACTGGAGAAAATATATAGCTGTCGTGGATATGTATATATACATATAAAACGTCATTTAATTCTGACTTGTATACGGTGAGTGTCTGAATTTCTGTAATTAATTTCATTTTATATAAGACCTAAAAAGTTAATTATCGTTATCACTGTTGTTGTAATGATAGAGACACTTTTGGATTATGTGATATTTTTACGCATTTTCTAAAGATTTCATAAGATTTAAATAATAACAATTTAGATAAAAAAGAAAGAAAGGAAAAATATAACTTCTAGAAGAGTAACACGTCTTGGAGTACGTTAGATAGCACCTGTTTAATGAAAGCATTGGAGCCATGATATAACATTAACGCTGGAATACGAATTAATTAGAAAAAAACGAACAAAGCACAAAACATTTAAAGTTAACAGGGACATTGTAGATCTTGAAAAGTGGTCGAGAAAAAGAAACGAAATTCATGAATAGTTGCTTGCGACATCACTTCTTCAAAGTAAAACAAACAAACAATTGGAATATCAAATTGAAGAGATCGTTGTTAGACTAACAGATAAAGAAGGCGGGAGTTATAAACGGTATCACGTGACATAGAGTTCCGGTAAGGAAAGACTAAATTAAACAAGTGAGATTTAAACTTAAAAGCAAGCTCTAACCTGAATGAAAAACATTAAAATCTATCAAATAATTTTGCTAATAAAATATTTTGGTTTATCAATGTTCATCAGATGATTTGTCTCAAGCAATTGTTCAAGAAGTTGTATAGTTAGTTGGTTTGAGTATTGGAACTGCTTAACAAGTTAAATAATCGGTCTGCCTATTAGTGCTATGGCAGAAGTTGAATAAATCGTTCGACTGTTGGAATTATCCAATAAGTTGAATAAGTGGTTTCACTATAGGAATTGTGAAACAATTTAAATAGTTGGTCTGCCTATTAAAATCTAATCAAAAACACCTTACGTGTGAAAAAAAGTGCGGCTAAGAAAGGATTCAACGTGGATTGTCGTTATAGGTATCAAAAACTGATAACTAATGTGACTGTTGCAGATATAAAGCAATATTAACAGATGGTTTGTCTAATAGAGTTATCAAAAAAGATAATTGGATTGTCTTTATAGGTATCAAGAACTGATAACTGGTTTG